TTTCGTCAAACGCTTCCTTCATTTAAGAATTTTGGGTTGGCGAACAGCATATCAATTACGAGATGATGACATCTATATTGGGATTTGTTATATACTCTGTATATTGACTAGTGACACAATTAACATACTAGCGAATGAGTCATTCGAAACAATTAGGGTGTGTGGTGTGGCTGTGGCTGTGGGTGAGGGTACGGTGTGGGGCGTGATGGGATGTAGGTGTGGGTGCATGTAAATCTACTCTTAGCCTACACCTACATCCACCTACACCCACGCCCTCGTCGGACGACAATCATCTTGGATGTGCCTCATGATGTGAGTATGGGTAAGGAGATAAATCAATCGTATACACATGGTTTTGTTTTACCACGTGATTGATTAAGTCGATAGCAACTCGGAACTGTGAGTTTAATAACTGATCGTTTTTCCAGGATACCTTCATTAGCAATTAGAATGACACCCACACTCTGATAACCTCCATGGAAAATGGCACCATTCGATAGAGAATAAAATGATGCATCAAATGCAATCCTTTAGAAATCCGACACAGTTCAGAAAGTGAAATCGAGCAGAAAAGATTCCGATCTGCTTCTAACATTACTCACGTAGATCTTCATTTGCGTTGCAAAAGTGAAAACATAGTATTTACTAACAATCGATCATTATAAAAAAAGAAACTACCGTGTATTAAAAGTTTTACATTTTGCATCTTTTATATTAGCACTGTGAAACTGAAAAGGACGCCAAAGTTTCACATTTCTGTCTAATACAAGCTGCATTAATAAACCTTACATTATTGGTAGATAAAAAAGTTCTATTCAATCTTGAGGTACTTACGACTAGCTTTTATTTTACATACACACTTTTCTCGTCAAAGAAAAGCACAAAATAAAAATCATTTATTTTTTCAGTTAGAAGAGTGAATAATTTTTTTCTGTTTTTATTGTTCGAACGAAATTTATTTCAATTTTCTGTAACACATGAGGTCTCATCAATACTCGAATTAATTTTTCTTCTCTGTCAATACCTATGTCAGAATGAGAAACGTTTTGCTGTTAGAGAAATCGGTTGCTGTTCATGATGGCATTAGCGAAGTGCCTGAAAGCGCCTCTTTCTTCTATGAAAAGCACATCTGTGTTTACACGTTTCGACAGAGAAGCGTACTGCATAAGGGGTCTCTTTTTCCAGGGTGCGGATGTAGTTGTGAGTTTTTCGTATGTCTGCTCTGCTCTGCTCTGCTCTTACAACGATATGCTAGTCATTCATACATATGCAAATAATGAACACTCCAAAAATATACCTTAAAATGAAAGAATCATTGATCGATAATGTGGAACGTGACTGTTAACATCCCCTTTTCCATCACTCATCATTACACTGTATGCACATTCTCGAAGTCGAGAAGTTTATTAAAAACGTTAAGAGAACAGTTCAAAGTAATGTTTTATTTCGAATTTCTAAATTGTCATTCAATAAACGGCGAACATAAAAAATAATCCATGTTGTTATAATTGATGTATTTGAATATACATGTGTAGTTGGTAGAGACTAAGTTTGTGCAATCGCCAATGTAATTGCTGATTATGTTGAAGTTGAATTCGTTCGAACATCAAAAGTTCGTACGGTTCTTCACGATCAAAAGTTAAAAGTTGAATGTATTACTAATAGCACATATAAATAAATCTTATGTATTTCTAATGATTACTAAATTCTTTGTGGAAAAAAAATGTAATGTTGATCGTGAAGACAAAAGTTATGTTGAATTTTTTAATCAAACAACAATAGATTATAAAGAACGACACATATTACGTAGTAATAGTGAAAACTCAATATCAAATTTTTGATAATAAAGAACAAGCACGTTTTACTACTAGTGGTGTCAAAGAAGATAATTTGGAAAAATTCCAAGGTTTCCATTTAAAAAATAACTCTTATATAAAAGCACAAATGATATTGGTTTTAAATGATTTCATATAATCCAGTGAATTGCAATTGAAGATTATATTACGAGAAGACAAAGGAAAAAAAGTTGAATTCACTTTTTATTATCATTTTTAAAAGTGCTAACTGTGCAATTAATTAATGCAATCGAAGTTTCATAAGTAGAATAAAGTTTATTTTTCGAGTAACTGCTTCATATGAAGTAAATCAAGTTGCATATAATCGTCCAAGTACATTGATCGTCATTATTAAGGCTCTATTAGATGTTCGAACAGAGGGTGTGTGTGAGTGGGTGGGTGTGGGTGTGGGTGTGGGTGTGGGTGTGGGTGTGGGTGTGGGTGTTGGTGTGGTGTGGGTGTGGGCGTGAGTCTAAGTGAAGAGTCACACACACCTCCTCACCCCCCACCTCCACACCCACACCCACCCACACCCATGCACACCCACACCCATACACACCCACATGCACACCTACCCCACCCCCACACCCCCCACCCCACACCCACACCCATACACACGCACACCTACCCCACCCCCCCCCACCCCACACCCATACCCATACCCATACCCACCCACATCCACACCCTGATATTCGTTCATTTTCCACGATTTTCCTTGACCTCTTCCTCAATGTATTGATTTTCCTTCAATC